TTAATATAACTAAAATTTGAATTTTATACTGTGGATAAGTGTTTGTCACAACCACGTTTTCATAAAAATATTAACCAACATAACTTTTTTCAACATTGACTATAAGAAATATTTCTTGCGTATCAAATCAGCATATCAGAATGAAGGATCATGTGACACTGAAGACTGGAGTAATGATGCTGAAAATTCAGCTTTGTCATAAATTGCATTTTAAAGATAAATAGAAAACTACTGTAGAATATTTTAAATTGTTATAATATTTCACAATATTACAGTTTTTACTTTATTTTGGATCAAATAAACGCAGCCTTGGTCAGATACTTCTTTCAAAACCATTTAAAAAAAAATCTTTTGAACAGTATTGTACATTTACAAAAATTTGTCAAAATCGTAGTGTTGATAAAAACTTTAAAAGCTGGATCCTGAAGCAAATTCCGACTACCGATATTTACTATTTACTCCCACTTTACACTGCAACGAATCAAGGTCAGTGTGAGTGACGAAGAAAGCCTAAAATAGAGCGGTGCAGAAAGCCTTGTCATTGTCTTCCCCTCCTTCCATCCCATGTTCTCTCCTTCACTGAGCTGAAGAACATCAGCGTGTCACTTTTCTGTTCAGACGCAGCATGTTTCGGCGAGCGGAGTCTCGGCTGATCGGCTAGGAGACTTAAGGGCATGTTGATGTTGTTGAAGTTTGGTCCAGAGCAGATGGAACTCGCAGCAGTGATTTTTAAAGAGCCCTCAACCCTCTGCAGGTCTCACGTGACCGAAAAGAAGGAAACCAGGTGGCTACGCGCTCTTGGACCAGCTGGGAGAGTGAAAGACCATCTGACACTCAGCCAGAGAATCATACACTCTCCTCAGCAAACACTTTGCATGTCAATACCATAGTAGCACAAAGGGACGGAGAGAAAGACAGAAAGACATAGATCCAAGAAATTGAACTAATTATCCTGGCACTCGGCTATTTCTACCCCATTTTTCACAGCTGAACAATTGGGCCCTTAAAGGGTTATTTCCCCCCAAAAATGAAAATTCTGTCAGTAATTACTCACCCTCATGTTGTTCCAACCCCGTAAGACTTTCGTTCATCTTCGGAACACAAATTAAGATATTTTTGATTAAATCTGAGAGCTGGATCACTCCTCCATAGGCTTCTAAGGGATCGAAACTGGCCGGCCGAAAAGTTATTAAAGACATCGTTAAAATAGTCCAGGTGACTACAGTGGCTCAATCTTAAGCTTATCAAGAGACGAGAATTCTTTTTGTGCGCAAAAAAAACAAACAAAAATAACGACTTTATTCAACTATTCATTCAGACTATTTTAACGATGTCTTTAATAACTTTTCGGCCGGCCAGTTTCGATCCCTTAAGAAGCCTATGGAGGAGTGATCCAGCTCTCAGATTTAATCAAAAATATCTCTAATGTTCCAAAGATGAATGAAAGTGGAATGTTGGGGTGATTTTGGGGTGAACTAACCCTTTAAGTGAATAAACCAGCACAGAAAAGTGGTTTAAACCAGCACTCGTAAAGTGAGTCAGTGAGTGTTTGAACAGTATGAATCAGTGGTTTCCTCATACTCACAGGAACTGGATGAAAAACAATCCCGATTTTTTTTTTTTTAAATAGAAGTTGACATTTAAGGTTATTTATGTAATTATATTAACCCTCTACTGCACGCATTATTATGCAATCATGGAAAAAAAATTTACAGTGTTTTTTTATATATAAAATAGACTCAAATTAACATTTCTTTCTTTTTTTTTTTTTCTTTTTTTTTTGGGAGGGGTACTTTTGGGTACGTTGCCATATGGCAACATTGTGCGACAATGGAACAGCCTGATGCGTTTTCTCCCAAAATGATATGAAATTCATAGATGATTACAGACCTGTCTTTTAGAAATGAAATTGTTTTTATTATTTAAAATGTTTTCAAGAGCTTTGTGTACAAAATATGAAACTAATTTTCAAAGTATTATTTCAACAATATTTACAAAACATCTGACGCAAACTCATAAGACCTGTTCAAGTGAAACTACTCAATGTGAAACGATTATTTCAACAACATTTACAAAACATGTGACGCAAACTCATAAGAACTGTTCAAGTGAAACTACTCGATGTGAAACGCCTTAAAGCAGTTGTTCTCTCCGTTAAAGGTGGGGTATGTGATTTTCTTTTTTGACCATTTTTTCAAAATCACTTGAAATCCTATTCCTAAACCACTTACAGCCACTGAGTTAGAAGCACTGAGATGAAAATTAAAAAATGTAATCATCTGTGGAACGGGCAGGACTCGAAAAACTCCAGCCAATCATTTCCAAGACCACCTAGAATCATTGGACAGTAAGTGCGTCAATCAAACGGTCGTACCATACCCCCCTCCCCCATGCCCCTCTTCGCATGGGTGGAGTCAGGGCCAGCGTTGGAGGAAAGAAGGTAGGACCTTTTGAGTTGTGTATTTTCAAAATCTGCCGGCCGTTTTGCAAATCACATACCCCACCTTTAAGGCAGAGGTGCACCTTGCACTTAGAGCAAACCCCTCTGACGATGCCCTTGCAGCCAGGATTCTGGCACCTTCCTTTTGGTGCACCCATCTCTGGCCAGTGATCAAAGCGGTCAAGACGGATATATATTTTACTTTTATACTTTACTTTTACTTTACTTTATAAATATATACAAATATATATAAATATATAATACAACCATCCAACTATATCAGTGCATCCATACATTGTCATTCATACAAAGCTACTCTGCATTAGCATGGGCAAAATATTGTTCCATTACCGCACAATGTTGCCATATGGCAACATACCTATTTTATTAAATAAAAAGGTAATATAAGTATCAAAACAATGTGACAATGATTGAAAAAAGATTAGAACTTATCCCAGATGCTTGATGTATTTTTTTATTCCGAAGAAATATGAAAAAAATTAGGAAAATCTTCACATATACACGAGCACTTTTTCAGCAGCTGGAGTCATCAAAAGTGTGTGAAAAGAATGACGTTGCAAGGGTGTGTGTAGTGTCGTGATGTCATCAAAGCATATCATTGGTTACCACCGGGTTCTATTATGAATTTAAGATCAATCAGAGCTCATGTTTATTTTCAAATTTCAAGAAATGTCCAAAGAAAGGGTATGTTGCCATATGGCAACACTGTGCAGTAGAGGGTTAATATTTTGTATTGTCAATATTAAACTGTCTCACAGATAGACCCATATGATCCTCAGATGTTTCTTTGTGGAGATCAAGATGCTGACTACAGTGAGGAGGCAGCATCTGCATGATCTCCTGACCTCTGACCCCCAGGCTTTGTGTAGGAGGTCATTTAGGCTTTTTACGCCGCGTTAGGATCAGTCAAGCATTCCTTAGTGCCCAAGAATCAGGGTCAGCAGCTGACACCACTCTCTCCTTTACTCTCCATGTCTCTCTTTGTCTGCCTTTCGAATCCCTCAGGATAAGTGTTATAATACTGCTCATTTTTTGTCTCTCCTCATCAGTTTGATCACCTGTCCGGAGCCATAGGTCAGGCTTTGGTTGATTTCTTAGGGTACTTGTGTGTTCTTGGGATGATTTGCATTGTCTTTCAATAGATTTTTTCTGTGAGGGTGTTAAATCAAATGTTGTCAGTGGCAGAAGTGGTTTTAGGTTGGCACAATTGGTACGGTAACGGCACCCTTATTGGCATAAATAAAATAGCAGTCGGTTGACTCAGAAATTGATGTGGGTGGTTGAAGTCTACTGATTCAAGATCAGACCGCTAGCTCAGACGTTGCCAGATTGATTCCAAAATGTGCAACTCAAGAACTTGGGATTTATTGAGATCACAATCACAATTTGTGCCCTTGAGCAAGACATGGAATCCCAGGTTATTACAGGAGAGACTGCAAATTGCTTGGGATGAAACTCAATAAAAGTTTCCAGTAAATGACAAGTATTTAGTAGTGAAGGATAAACAAAGCTTTGCAAAGACCCGAGGCTTTTCTCTCAACTTTCATTACTCAAACTATTATTTCATTTTATTTAGTTTCATTTATTTAATTTTTTAGTATTTTATTTTATTTTATATAAAATCCACTGTTGGAGCGATTAATTTGTTTCTGTGCATTAGCAATAAAATAATTCAAATGAATGAAACAAATTCATAAATAAAATGATCTGTCTATTTTAACCATGCTTCAGTCCAGCTGTTATTCCTTGGTTAAATGAACATTGGGCTTCATACATAAATTATGGTATGCATTGTAATAAAACAAAAAAAAATTGTTTTACAGTTAGGAAAACTTCCTCCTTGACCCAGATACTAAAGCAGTCGTGGTTCTTAGATGAGCGAAGCTTCAGACATTTTTGGGGCTGCTGTCAGTAACACTGTCAATCAGAAGTTTACTCTGAAACTTGTCTTGCAAAAGAGCAGTTGCATCAGCAAAATATCCAGCAAATGAGCGCCATCTAGGGATGACATAGTTGTCACGACATGTTGTTTAAACGTTCCAGGTTCTATTTATCACAGAAAAGAACTTGTCCCTCAAGTTGTGTGTACAGCAATGTACAGTAGTATTTGATGGGGCAAGACATTGTATTGATAAATGTTAAAATGCATAGTTTTGACAGTATAGCCTAAATATTTACATATGAAAATGACACTGAGATAAATATGTTTTACAAGCTAAAACTCTTGCCATGACCATGTACAACCATTGAACCCTGAAGCTTTGACATGATATGTACAAGGAACAGAAAGGGAGTGTTTACATATAGAGAACATGATTCATGAGTCTATGGACTTCCATTGTGAGCGCTTTAATTTCTTTTTACAGATTGAGGGACGAGTCCAAATGTGGTCTATGACTGATTGAGCGTTTAGCTGATAGAGCGTAACTTGTTTAAAAACATTAATTTAACTTAAAACATTCAATTATTACCAGTTTGAGACAGCATTTATAATACAAAATTTAATAACGCAATCATCTGATTTTGCCATTGATATTGAACAACATACCAGTAATCCACAAATGATTCAGAAACACTTGTGAATGTTTCCAAAAACTCACAACATCATAAATAATAATCCACAATAATATATAAAAAAAAAATGTACAAATGTTAAATTAATGTGAAAACAAAAGAAAAGAGCAAGGAAGTGCCAAATGTTAGTTCATTATATCACCATCATTAGCTCAGCTATGATGTGAAAATGAGTTAGCAGTTCATTCCCCTATTAGTCGTATTAAACTCTTATTATAATGGGCATTTGGTGTTGCAAACGTCCCCCGACTGGAATAGATGATAGATGTTAACCAGGGGAAACATAATGAAGGAGCCCAACAAAGATCCTGTCTGCACTGCTGCTCCACACCACACGAGGGCGCTGTGACTCCGGTCCCTCAGAATCACACCTACCATCACCTTCACATAGGACAGCAGGCCAGTAAAGAAAACCCATGACAAAACCTGAAACAAGTTGAAACATAAAAAAGAGTGACAAATAGGTCATCAGATGCTTGTCAGATTCATTAATATATAGAGAACCTGTCATGTCTGTGTCAGTAGATCTGAAGTAGTTAGTTATCAGGCTCATTATGCTGAGGTGTTGAGAAAGAGTAGCCTATATCTCACCTCAGCCAGTGTTTAATAAGTCTGCAATTACACAACTCATCATTACTAGTGACGCAAACACTCGACTTTGAAACTAGGGCACATGGGTCTGGATTTTTCTATCCTGGACGTTTAAGCATTATCCCAAATCAAGCTCTAATCATTTGTGATTTTCACTAGGTTCCATTATAATTCAGAAGGTTACTTTTTTGAGAGGTTAATATTGTTTTATTCCTTCACTATTATATAGCCACGACTATTTTTCATTTGTTTATTTGTAGCCTGAGGAACAAAATTGTTTTGCTGAACCATTTACATTGATCTTTTAACATTTCATTCTGAATAGAATCAACAATAGATTAATGTAAAGCTAAACATTTAGACAGAATCTTCTAGAAATGGGCTGATTACATTAAAAGGGAACTTACTATAATAGCATCCCCTAGAGGTGTATGTTGGAGTAATGGGCAGGGACTCATGGCAGCCATGGCCATATTGTAGCCTCCAAATACAGACCCCAGCAGACACAGGATGCCCAGAAACACTAGTGAACTGGAAGAGAATAATATACTCACTTTTAGTCAAACTCCTATTATGAACCTTTCTTAAAATTTGCTTTAAAATAAATATTATTCCATGTTTTTCATTAATTTTACACACTGAGGGACTTTTTTTGTGGTAATCAACAGCAGGCCTCAGATGCCATGAATTACATTTTAGATGCCTTTGATTTAACCTGGAATATATCTTTAAAACAATTTATCTACTTAATAGAACACAAAATATATGCTAATCGGCAATAAATTATAGATTAGATTGTAATCAGGGCTTGACATTTCAGCGGTGGCGTGTAACACAGTCAGTCCTACTAGCCACTTTTGCTCCTGATGAATATTGTTGGCGTTACAGGGCTTGAAGTTCGGCGAGGGTTTGCACGTATGGAGCATAATTTTACTCATTCCCGCAGATTTTGTGCTCACACCCAAAGTGCGTGCACATAAACCCAAGTATATTGGCTTTATAAAACCGTATACTGGGTACGTGCCTCAGGTCTTAAAGTGACAGCAGCCTAATATACCGGCTGCCAAATTATGAGATTATATTAAAAAATATCTATATGGCAGTTTTTCCCTATGGTATCAATGTCAAAATTGTGGCCAGTGAAAATGCTAAGTGGCTAGTAACTTTGGAAAACCAATAGCCACAGTGGCTGGTGAGCAAAAAAGTTAATGTCAAGCCCTGATGTAATTAAAAGTGGAGATATATACCGTTTGGGGAAAAACATGGCAATGATGCACGCCACTGGATTGGCTACCGCCGACAGAGCGGCTGACAGGTGATAGGCCATATTTCCATAAGGCATACAGGAGAACGTCTGCACTGAGGGCAGCAGTCCGTTCGTTGCACCATTCACCCACACCACCATAAAATAGATGAACGCCAGCTGATAGTCGGAGTGCAGCGGTTTAGGAAGTAGCACTCTGATCTGCTTCTTTTCCTCTTCCTCTTGACTGTTTGTCTTTGGATTGGGGTCCATGGGGCCCTCCAAACCACTGCAGACTGTTGCTACGGCATCTGAGTCCGGGAAGAGATTTTCAGTGGATAGTTCAAAGGTGCGAGGCAGACGGTTTAATATGAGGAAGGCACCCAAGCTTATTGCCGTCATTACGGCCAGGAAAGAGAAGAAGATCTCAGTGGAGAAATTGGGAGGGAGGTACTGCGTCTCCACAATGAAGGTCGGAGGTTCAGAGTCTGTGAAGTTATCCGACACGTGCGACACATTGACACATTTTGACATTCCAACCCCTTGCGCCAGCGCCACCAGGCCTGGAACCAGACCGCTCAGACCTTCTCCAATGAAGTATGTGGTGATGTATTTGGCTGGAAGTTGCATCATGAATGGCAGGAAGGTGACAGATGAGGTGCAATCGACTAGAGCGAGAAAAAATGTGAGGATGAAAAATGCTGTGCTATGCGGTTGACCGAGGATCGTGGTGGTGTTCTTCCAAAACACAGCCAGTAGGACACAGGCTACAACACCGATTGACAGGACCGCATAGATGACGAGATTCTCACGTAGTCTTCCAGGACAGAATTTGTGCGCCAGGGTCACCAGCAAAGGCCCGAAGTTGGCAAGCTGAATGATGACTGTGAGGTACGATGGCAAGTCCCAACCCTCTGGCAGGACATTGACTATCAGAGGAAGTTCCACCCACAAGCCATTAATGGACACCCAGGAGCCCAGACCGAAAGCACACGCCAAGGCATGGATGTACAAAGGCATAGTGAACGTCTTTATCAGAGGGCAAACGGGTAGTTGAAGAAATATCTGATGTCAGACAACTTTCAACTGTGTGACTCTTCGGTATTTTATATTGTGTGACGCCACTTCAGTTGGGCTGTGGTTTGATGTCTTCTCTTCTTGCCTTTGCCAAAACATCAGATTACCTTTAAAGAGAGAAAAAAAAAGATAGACAAAGAAGAAATCCTCCACGTCTTGACATCTCTGACAGAGGAACCATTGCACGACCCTGGGAATTAAGACCATTTATTCAACTGTTCAAAATGTTGGGGTCAGTAAGGTATTTGTAATGTTTTTTAGTCTTTTACGCTCACCAAGGCTGCATTTATATAAAAATACTGTAAAAAAACAAAACAAAAACAAAAAACAGTAATACAGTATTTTAATATGTAATGTAGTCATGTAATGACAAAGCAGAATTTTCAGCAGTCATTACTCCAGTCTTCAGTGTCACATGATCCTTCAGAAATAATTCTATGCTGATTTGCTGCTCAAGAAACATTTCTTACTTACAACTAATGTTGAAAACAGTTGTGCTGCATATCTTTGTGCAAACCTTAATATATTTGTATTAGAATTATTTGATGAACAAAGTTCAAAAGAACAGCATTTAAATGAAATAAAAAATAGTAACAATTTAAAAGACCTTACTGTAAAATTTGATCTGACAAAATCTGACATTTTAAAGCATCCTTAATGAAAAAAAAAGATTACTTTAATTTCCTTTGATAAAAATACTAATCCCAAACCTTTGATAAAAAATACTAATTCCAAACTTTTAAACAATTTTGAACAATACCCATTACAACTTTGATGAACTCTTTTGATCCACTTCAAATTTTGACTACTGTATATGTATATATAATTACATCAAACTTTAAGCTTACAAAACGTTGCATGCAATACAAAGTACAAGTGCAGCATAGCAATAAAATTATTAAACCGGCACTACAACAATCAACAATAAAATGTGAATTGCTGTATTAATGTGGCTTGTTAATTTTAAAAAGCAGAATGATCTGTAATCATTCTAAATTCAAATATGAATTGTTAATTCTGTTAACTGGATCCAGTGGTCTTTTTTAAGTGGTTTTTATACAACCAAAGACAATGTTAAAAGTTCAAATGAACTTGTCGGTCAATGGTTAAAGACAATCAGATTTGCATAAATGTAACATCCAACATGATAACAAAAGCGACACATTAAAACTATTCAGTCAGCATGTAAGCGAACATCCGATACCTGTAACTCAGGACAAAAGACTGATTTATGTATTATCTCACTGGAGGAGCATTAAACAAATTCAGTACTCACATTACTGTTGAGCCAATGAGACAGAACATGCTCTTCCTTCTCACACAGACATTAGTTTGCTCTACGAACCGGTAAGTCATAGAAGCGACATTCATTCAGCAATCTGGTATCTCGTTACCAGTTAACCTCTCAACTCTTAAGATGTCCACAGTGGGGTTTTTAACCTCAGCGTATGAGTGTGGGTGGGTCTCATGAAGGTCATCCCGCTCTAATAACTCTCCTGTCACATGACACTGCAACAAAATGGCCTTTTAGCTGGTCCAGTTTTTCTGCATAGCTCTTGTATTATAGCATTGGCATCAAAGTGTGCATCTACAGGAGGACAGAGTTCAGTGAGCAGTGAAATTTGGCCTGTTGTGCCTCTGAGATGTATCACGATTATTTAATCGTGAACAGAATATCCTGAACTCTTTTGCGGCATGTACTTTGACCCTATTCAACCATCATATCTTTCATCAAGAATAACAAATGTAGAGCAGAGACTTCAATTCACATCATAGTCCTTGTACCACAATCTGAAGTTCTCAGTGTGGAACTTTGAACCGTTAAAAGTCTTTACAAAACATTAAACTTGCCTTAGGTGCTGTTTATTTTTATACTCTCAAATGAATCACAAAACATCACAACCCAAAGCTCATTCTGGCACAGCATACATAAGTGCAGCTTTATATGGTGTGACCTACATATACTTTACTACCCTCATTACTAATTAACAGCTTCTTTAAGGTTTTGAACTTGTACCTAAAAAGAAAGATTTATTATAGCTATTAACGCATTAAATAAAGGCATCGGGCCTTTATTTATGTATAGATGGGACCCATGAGTACATAAGTTACTTTACCAGAAATCAGACACAAACAAAAGTCAATGACTTAAAGCCAGATGGGGTAAGATAGCAGCCAAAGGTTCACAGATCATAACGCAAATATCTAACCAGCCATTCACACGGCAGCAACTCTATGCATGAAGGGATGTAGACATGGTCAAGACTATCCGCTGAAGTTCAAACGGAGCGTCAGAATGGGGAAGAAAGGTGATTTAAGTGACTTTGAACGTGGCATGGTTGTTGGTGCCAAACGGGCTGGTCTGAGTATTTCAGAAACTGCTGATTTGCTAGGATTTTCACGCACAACCATTGCCACAAATGGTCTCTACAATCAACTTAGCTCACGATGCTTTTGAGAAACGCAGCCCGGACTGGTTCGAGCTGATAGAAAGGCAAGCAACAGTATCTCAAATAACCACTCGTTACAACCGAGGTCTGCAGAAGAGCATCTCTGAACGCACTACACATCGAACCTTAAAGGTAAGAACAGCAAACTGAGGCTACAATTCGCATGGGCCCACCAAGATTGGACAATAGAAGATTGGAAAAACATTGCCTGGTCTGATGATTCTCGATTTCTTCTGCGACATTCAGGTGGTAGGGTCAGAATTTGGCGTAGACAACATGAAAGCATGGATTCATCCTGCGTTGTATCAACGGTTCAGGCTGGTGGTGGTGGTGTAATGGTGTGGGGGATATTATCTTGGCACACTTTGTGCCCCTTAGTACCAACTGATCATCGTTTAAATGCCACAGCCTACCTGAGTATTGTTGCTGACCATGTCCTTCCCTTTATGACCACAGTGTACCATCTTCTGATGGCTGCTTCCAGCAGGATAACGCGCCATGTCACAAAGCTCAAATCATCCTAAACTGGTTTCTTGAACATGACAATGAGGTCACTATACTCAAATGGCCTCCATAATCACCAGATCTCAATCTAATAAAGCACCTCTGTGATGTGGTGGAACGGGAGATTAACATCATGGATGTGCAGCCGACAAATCTGCAACGTGTCCTTGCTGAATAAAAGAAATACAAGCAAGGACACATTCAATTTCAAATAAATGCTGTTCTTTTGAACTTTCATCATTCTATTCATCAAAGAAACCTGAAATAAAATGCATGTTTTCATAAAAATATTAAGCAACAGAAACTGATCAGAAACTGTTTTCAACATTGATAATAATTTACTTGAGCAGAAAATCTGCATTTTAGAATTATTTCTGAAGGATCATGTGACAGTGAAGACTGGAGTAATGACTGCTGAAAAGAAATGACATTTTAAAATATATTCAGATTAGTTATTTTAAATTGTAATAATACATTATAATATTACTGTTATTACTGTATTTTTGATTAAATAAATGCTGCCTTGGTGAGCAAGAGACAAAAAACTAACGTTTAAATTATTAATATAATTTTTTTTAGATCCTAAAAAAGTTAATTTCCTTTTATCCGTTCATTAATACTGTTAAAATCTTTACAGTTTAAAGTTATGAAATAGAATGATTTGTGATTGTAATTTCAAAGGTTTCATAGACATAGCCGAATCATTGTCATTTAAGCATAAGACCACATATGTATTTTTGTCCTTCCATACATATGTATTTTTATTATGTCATATTTGTACCAGACCTCAAAAGTAGCCTGGGCGGAAGCCCCGCTTCCGCAATCCATGATCTAAATATAAATGTATTGTTTATATGTATATAAATCATAAGTAATCTGATAACAGTGTTTCATGTATCATTATGAAGTGTTGCAATCTGTTCTGGTGTTAAACACCTATTTATTTTTCTTTTGGTTCAGTCACAATGTGAAGTCATAAGCATTGCAACTTTTGTGAGAGAGAGAGAATGAGGGATTGAACTTTGAAATGAAGGTGAAAGGTAAAAGAAAGAACAAAAAGGAATGTCACGTGGTCAGTTTTACAAATAAATGGCATCATTCTAACAAGTCAACTTGTTGTGTAAGTATAATGTTTGTTAAACCCCTGAACCTGTTGTCCATCTGCTGACAGCCCTGTGTATGATGTGTACTGAAGAATAAAGAATAAACGTCTTCAATTACCCAACATAAGCAGGATAAAAAGCACAAATCAGGCCACAGGTCTTTCCAGTTCTTTATTAATTTTATTATAAATATGAACTTAATGACATAACAGTTTTCAAAATAAGAAACAACAAAAGGCATTAAGGCGTTATTTGCAGTTTTCAACAAGTAGCCGTCCTACAAAAACTTGCTGATTGTGAGACTATGAGGTGAATTGCAAAATCAGCCGAGATAGCATTTTTAAAAGGCTTCTCCCAATAAATCAGTAAGAAAAAACATTCAGTAACAAGTGTGAATGCCAAAGGTCATCAATCAAATGACCCCAGTGAATAAGGGATCGGCTTTGCTTTGTTATCTGAAGGACAGTATGACATTTTTGAGCAAGTACAATGTGATTAGTTCAGTCTTCTCACAGCCACATACCATGGAAAGTGGTATCTTTCCACTGTGCATGGAAAGAAAGGAGACTCAACGAGAAGGTCTATAACACTCTAATCTTGCATTTTCGATAATACAATCGCCATATTACCAAAATCTCTTTTACACATTTCACAACAAACTAGTAACATTTCTGTGTGTTTATAGAACCATAATTATGCCTGCAGAACTCTAAGCTTGACCAGACAAAAGCACAGAAGTCTTCACTGCATCAACACATCACGATCACTGGCTGCTCCAACTCACTTCTTCCACCATTTCAAATCAAGAAAGGTTACAGCTGGTGAAATCCTTCATGATCAGTACATTACAAATAAAAGAAAAGGTTGAGATATGTTATGTGATATGATCGTTCATACTACGCTATGTAAAATTTAGGAGAAAATAATGTCATAATGGAAACCAAAAATACAAAATTAAGTGAAATCTAATGACAAATGTAACATTTTACAAAATCAAAGTAATTGGTTTAAGCTTCAGTTCCCTGTACAGTGAACATCGCCACTGGAGTGTTTTCTTCGAATAAACACCGACCAAACACACCACAACAGATCTATTAGCTGAGCAAAAATAAATTTGGCATCTCATATCAGCATAGAAATATATAAGATATTAGTTGACTGTCAAAAATACTACAATATTCCGTCTAACAAATCTTCCTGAATTCATAAAAAGGAGGAAAATAAGATGTAACAACACATGACACATTATGAATCAGCTCAAAACACCTCATATATGTTTTGTTTTTTTTACAGTTCTGGCTGACTCCTTTGTAACAGTTTACATATTGGACAAATTAATTTGCTCTCTAAAACATGTTCTCTGACCTTCTATAAAGCTGACCTATTTTAAACATATACCATCACAAAACTGACCTATTGAAACAACAATTGCCACATTCCGGCTGACAGTAACAAGGTTTTGGCATGAAAATGCACATAAGCATAAAACTTCTAAGCTACAACTCGTTTAGGTTGACCTTTTCAGTTTTTAAGGGCAAACAGGTTTTTTGTGCAAAGAAGAATGATTAAACTAATACCCCCAAATGGCACAACAAAAATGATCACAATTATGTTAGATGTGATATAAAATATTCAATTGTTCATTACTTATTCAATTTCCTCACTCTTATAAGACGACATGATAAACACCGTCTAAACTACATGGCTTAGATAGCAACACTTATTTTCCAAAGCAAAGCAAGTTTTTTTTTTTTCATTAGTAAAAGATTAACTTTAATTTTTTTAATAATTAAAAATATGACTACTGCTGTATTTAAATATAAAGTCAAGTAAATAAATATTTTTCGAGTCCATTGTCATTGCAGCTTTATAATAGAGAATGTATATAATGTATCGCTCATTAAATAAGCAGTTAGTAATAGTTATGTCACTATACAGCTAGATGTTAAATCTGTCCTTTTCGTCATGCTGTAACCAGCTTTAACATTTCATATTATTATTAAAATGTAACATGCTAGTGTTAAGTTGAACATTAAACTGTTAAGAAACAATGTATGCAGACCTAAAACCCAAGCAATGGAGTGTAAGTTTAGGTTTGTGTCAGTCAGCTGGTCAACCTAGCCTACAATGAAGTTAATACAAGATAAAAAAATGGATACACATAAGGCCTATTCTGAGTGTCTCATGGGTTTTGATATCTGTGAGGACACCGCTGCTTATTCACACTGAGACATTATTAACCTAAATATTGACCTACGTGGAAATACTTCTAATATACACCTCTTGATCAAGAGCTAACTGCTTTCAGCACCTCTGAATTTGCAAATGTGCTTCAAAAGAAAGTATTGATAATGAAAAAAAATGAATGTTAGGAACAGGATGAGGCAGAGCAAAGCAAGTTTCTTGCGATTTGTCTTTTAAGGCGTACTGAAGTAAGACTGCATATGATGCTGCTCCGTCCGTTCAGACACAAGCAACAGATGAAGACACCGGTTTTCAGCCCTCTGCGGTTAAAGAGCCAAAATGCCTTGAGTTTACTGCACTTAAACCCCAAACAAGTGAAGGGTGAGAGCAAGAGATATCAGTCCCAAAGGCCAAACCCAAAAGTGCAGAGGCCAGTCCCTCAGAAACAAGCTAGTCAGCAAAGCTTTGAGCAGCTGAAAGATAAGAAGGTGTCCAGAAAAGAGCCCACTTTGTTCAAGTATTGACATTTTAAATTCGTTTTGTTTTTTTTGCACTTTGAATAGTTTTAAACATTTCACAGAAGTCTCAAGTTTTCAACAAGGATTTGGATGTTTGGGTCTTTAGAGTGAGCAGGGTGGGATATTGCTTTCAATTGCTTTGTCAACCCCATTCTCTCAACTTTTGCTAAGATTTGATGGCTTTCTAATTTGGGCTTTGATATCTTGCCATTCCTCTTGTTCTGTCTGAGGGAGGACAAGTAGACGGAGAAAAACGACTGTTCTCCTATAAGCAGGTCTGAGGTAGGGGAGGTGGGTCGGTGGCAGAGGAAGATTACTTGGTTTTCTGGGCCCATCTGAGGTCATCTGATCTGGGTTTCTCTCCTGTCAGGCTCTGGATCAGATCTTCCAGGTTTCTCCAGAATCCCAGTTTCTCTAGGGGATAGTTCAACCAGCCTGCACATTCAAACGCATTAGGGTCAATGACATGTAACTGTATAACTGATGTAAATGTATATTTAATTTAGTGTCAATGATAAATAAAATGTCAAATCTTCAAAAATCTAGTTTAATATATGAAAACATTCTTTCATAAGGTTTTGGAAATTCTTATATACCATTTTCAAAAAAAAGTTTAAATAAAAAATGTTGAAAACCGTTTTTAATTGCCTAAGCCATGATGACATAAAGGCTTTTTATATGCATTTACTTTAACTCTCGAGTGCCTCAGCTTGATACATTTTTAAATACACTTTTGAAGGTAAAAAGTATTTTTTACAAAAAATCGTAAGCTATTTATTGATAAATATCTTTAGGTTTTTGGGTAGTATCACACTCATGAGGGTCTGTAGTAGTCCTCTATCTGATTTAATTTCCTGCTTTTTTTCTTCTGCATATTAGTTGCACCATATGCCTTTGTTATTGTATGCAACGCAGAACGCACTGCATTTTGAATGATTTTTTAAATTAATAAATACATGTTACAAAACATTTCCATTTCAAATAAATGTTGTTCTTTTGAACTTTCTATACAACAGTGTATTGTGTGCAAGTATACCTGTGGTAATGCAGAAGTAGGTTTCATGAGGTGAAACGTGGTGAACTCTGTGGTGTTTCCGTGGTAAAATGATGTAACAGTCCTGAAGAAACGTCACCCAGCGTGGGAGCCCAAAATATGTGTGCGACCATTTGTGAATCTGATTGGTCAGTGTAACAAAAATGGCTAAAGCAAAGACGTAACAGTACCATGGGTAGTTTCGATAGATCTCCGCTGAAGAGAGAACAGCACAATATATGAGACACTGAGTCATAAATTAATGTGGTTCATCATTTGTCTCTGTATTGGACAGATAATATGTCTGATGTCTTACCTGGTGAGAGCATTAAGAAGTTTGCGGCCATGTTAGCGAGAGGGATGATAGTCAACATACAGTTATCACCATTTGTCTCAATGAAATCATGGCGCGTTATAGCTGTTGGATCAATGTGGTGCTCTCGAAATGGACGAATGAAGGCCTGGGTGCCAACAAACAGGAAAAGTTTTTTAGGATAAGTAATTATGCTACCACAATTTAGTAGTTGAAAATATTTTCTTTAAAAGATCATTAAAGTGTTTAAAGGCCAATTCACACTGTACTGATCAAAGCCCACCAACACCAACAAACATTCATCGGGTATTGTCGAATCAGTGGGTTAACCAGTCGGCGCTTGTTTTTGCAGGATTAACATGTTGAATCTGTGTTTATAGGGTGAATGTCTGAGAAGTGACATACTGTAATCTGGTGACTTTCACCGTTGGTCGGTGTCTGTCAGTGCAGTGTGAATTGGCCTTAAAAGATGTTTAAAGTAAAAACACAAATATTAAATGTCCTAAAAATCTACTTGTGATCAAGTGGTTCAATATCTATTTGTTCTCAAAGTATTTTATTACATTTTTTACCTTAAATAACACTTAATAACAGGAAAAAAAGGTGTTTCACTCCTGTACCTTCCCAACGATGGGCAGATCCACTGAACCCCATGTGTCAGCACCCCAGTGGACCAGACCAGAGGCAAAGTCTGCTGTGAGGATCCCTGCCACTTCACACACACACATACAGCAGAATCTCAGCATGAAATCAATCTCTAAATCCTATTATTAACCAAAATGGCTTTCAGTTCCCATAAAAAGCTGTTTGGTAGTTGCTAGTTATTTAAGACACACAGAGAAAAAAAATCTGCCAGCTACTGGCATTCTTGAATACTGGGAATTTCAGAGTTCTACTTTGCAACTTCTTTGTTGTGTCTACTACTACTTTATTAAACATTGATGCGTGTGTGTGGGTTTGTTTGTTTTTACCAACCGATGCCCAGAAGGATGTACCAGATGTGTCCCAGGTGGAAGTATGTTACCAGGTAACAGAAGTTGAAGGCCATGAGGGTAAAGCAAAGAAGCACACTGAGCCATTCCTGGCATCTTTTTCCTGTGAGAAATAGACAGAGTTGAGACCTTTTAAATAGTAGTCTTTAGTCAGCAGGGTCCAAAAATAACAGCAAAGCACCACATTTGAGTAAAAATTGGCTTTGGTGAATAAATAAAACTTTAATAGGAACTGCAGCATAATGCATTATTTAAAAACAGACTGTAAGAACGAAACGCTGATATGATGAGTACAACTCAAATCAAAGACGTATAAATCAGCTAATACTGAAAACATATCAACTACTAGCAGACTTGACATTTTCAAAGGCTATCATCAGAAGTTTTTTTCAACAGAATGTGGTGACACATTGAAGTTTTGGGCATTAAGCCACCAAACAAAATATGAGAAATATGTGCCACACAGTGTGACGCACTGGTTTATTTCATATATAATATTTTAACACAATAACATGCACTTTTTGTAACAAATATGGGAGGAAAACAACAAACAAATTAGTACTTTGCTGCCAAATATATATTTTTAATAAAAACAATATATATCACTAATGTGAAGTTATATAAAAAATATTGATTTTATAAAAAATAACAAATTTTAAAAAGAAAAGTCTCTTAATTCACCTGCCATTCACCCACAAAAATGGCAATGTTGGAATCTGTTAGTAAATAGTTATGGAAGGGTACAAATTGTTAATAAATAAATAAATACATATACACACACACACACAATAATAAATACATACACACACACACACACATATATATATATATAGAGAGAGAGAGAGAGAGAGAGAGAGAGAGGTTTAAGTTTAAATAAGTTTATATCCATAGTAGCCTAGAGAGTACGCTAACTTCAGAGTCTCCACAGTGTCTCAGTAAAGTAACTACTGAAGTACCAACTTGTTTGCTGTACATAAAATTAAAATCAAATCAACAATACAGCAACATGAAAAAGTAACTATCTACAATAAAGGTCTCACTAATATTCCAAAAATACAGCATCATTATCATAGAAACTGTTGAGAAAGCATATTTGAATAGATGTTTATAACAGATCGAGACAGATGGTTATGGCTGTGAGCATTTATCAAAGCAATGCTCACAACAAAGTTGCATTGTTTCTTTGCACAGCTACAACAATTGTGTGCCGAGGGCAAATTCACCTTTGCCCTGAATTCAGTGCAGAACCGAACAGTCTTTTCGGACTTTTCGAACCAAAGTGACTGTAAACAGGACAATGTTATTAGAGGACACTGATGTGTTAGAGAAGCATGAATCTTATGCTACCCGGAAACCCAGATCGGTCCTGCTCGATTTGACATTGAACTGCACCACCCCACCCACACAAACTCATACCTGTCACACCTACCACACCCTCACACTGGTCTGCTTAGTGCTTACTGTGCTCTTTCGTTTCCGCTCCTGTTCTGTTTTTTGTGTTTATATGCAGCATTTATCCTCCACACAATGTCCACTGTTCCCTGCTGGTACTGATGGAGATCCTCCTTCCACGCACGGTATTCAAATTTACTGCACACAAACTAATCAACCATTGTGGGCTGCTGGTTTTGTGTGACCCTGTTGTGCTAATGCTATAAATTACTTTGTTGTTATTCATCTTTAATAGTGTGAACAGCCATTCCTATTGAGATAAAAACAAAGAGTCAACCCGAAACTGTCCTTAAAGGTGCACTCAGTAAGTTTTTGATTATTGAGATGCTTCTTATTCGATATTCAATAGTACCAGTGGTTTTGGTACTGATGGTGCGTTCTATTGTAATCCGCGTCGGAGTTCCGACTAGGAAGACAGACGTTGCCTAGCAACACGCACCAACACGCCCCCTTTCCTCGGATTTTCCCGCTCGGATTTCGGACAACCGTGAGGACACAGAGCAAGAATTCTGATACGGAATCCAAGATGGCTGCGCCCTGTGTGACTTAGTATGAATTGTTTTCATTGTTTTTGGACCGCTTTGGTTGTTTAAATGAAGATTTTAATCACTCGTATTACTGCAATACCTTACTGCCTCCGTATCACTGCCTGTGGGTATGGGAATTGGTCTTGTTATGAGTACAATATTGAGTGAAGCCTTGTTTCAAACGGGTGTTACTAATGTGGCTAGCGTTGCTAACAGAAGATAAACTAAAACATGAAATAAAGTGAAAATTTTAGAAGTTCAAATGGCTGAGTTTTGATAAGCGCCTGGTACTCGGCCAGTGCTACCATAGCAACAGCTTTCCGGGTGGCGTCCATGTTTTTTCTCCGACTCGGACGCACAAAACATACCAGAACGCTTGAAGTGTGGAAATGGCGTCATATCCGAGCGCCGAGTCGGTTCGTTGACAATAATAGAACGCACCATTAGTACTAATACTTTTTGGCTTGATGCATTATAAGGCTTCTTTACTAACTGCTGTTGCTTCACATCAAAGATGTTTGTTTACCTTTTTGGTTTCTTTTTGTTTTCTAACTATGCTGTTATGGTGCAGACACGTTTAACGTTGTTCTGCAAATATTTGCGGGAGAAATGCACCCAATTAAATAGGAATCCCTGTGATGAGGAATGGAGATTTCACAGAGGATTCAAGATGATCATGCGAATTTGAAATTTACCTACGGAAAGCAACTTGGTATGAAAGTGACTTCTGTGTGAGCTGCATAACTATACTATTGACTATAGACCTTATTCACAGCAGCGCCATCTTTTACTTTTAACAGGAATGAAAGCGAGGCTGTGAGGGATAGACATAGGCTACATCTCTTCAGTGGGGCCAGGGTGTACAATTATTTCATGTTTTTTGATTGTTCTGCTGACGAAACACTGCAAAAACATCTTTCTAAGAAATTTCAATAGACGAAAAACTCCAAACATGAGCTGTGAAAGATTATAATTGATCTAGAAGCCTTTATACAGCTTTCTACAGTGGCTCTGTTGTTGTACTGTTGGACATTAGTTTTAGCTACTTGTTTTATTCACATTAGCTTTTACGTTTATGCTTTTTAAATCACAGCAAACACTGTCTGCATCTGCTAAATGAAATAAACAGTATTGTTTTAGGTAGTAAAGTGGCCAGTTGCATGGCAACTAGTCATGTGATGTCAATATTAGCGGCACCCATGAAGGGCTTCTTCTATTTTGTAAGTCATGTTAATGTTATTTCTCATGTTTTATTTGTACAACTTTTTTAACTAGCAAAACATAACTGAGTACGTGCTGAGTAATCTATGTGGTAAGCATGAAATCAAAGAGATCTCCTGTTAGTAGCCTATCTGACAGCTACAAGTACCAACTATTTCTGACACCGAATTACATCCCTTGAGACCATAAGAGATAGATAAACTCACAAGACATGATTAATAACCTATTTTGGTCAAATTTACCACAGACAATTGCGTTCAACTCATCTGATGACTGGCATCACCGATAGGGCGTTGAGCTCATTCAAACTCCCTGCCACATAAACATAACTTATATATGCCACACTATGCTGCGTAGTGTTTGTCACCGCAGAGACCCCAGACTGAATATGCACGCGCTCCGCTAGCGCTACATGCCCTTTAAAACCCGACTACTCTAGACTACGAGGCGAATGCTACAGCTTCGTGGCCGTGCTGTCCGGCGCTGCTTAAGAGAAACTCGTGGCTGGCAGTCCGTTCAATCCCCGGTATGGGCAGCGGCAGGCGGCTACCGGCGCCGACGGGAAATGTAAAAACCGGTTTAAATTCTCACCTGGCGAGTATAATTCCGCAAGCTCTCGAGCACCTGCATGCTGTGGACCCCATCTCGCGCCCGGCTGAGCCCCTCTACTTGGCTCGGGTGTGTGAAAGTTTTCCGAAGACCCACTTTTGCTCTCGGTGCTCGCCATATTCAGTCCGGTTCGGGCGCAGCGGATGCGTTAATTCCGCATCTTCAACCCCACGCCTCTGTCCGCCCTGTTCCGCGTTTCCTCCCTCCACCAATTGTGTTCGTCGCGCTGCAGCATTCAGCCAATCAGCAATTCGACTACGTTTTCATAACAAACATGACGACCAATTAGAAAACAAGAATGTCCTGACCCCACCCGAATGCAACCAATCAGAAAAGAGGCTATACTGGAAGTGATTAATTTTATTTACTTGAATGTACAGTTGTGGGTGCTGGTATTTTAGTGCATTGTCAACATATTCATTTTCATTATGTTAAATTAATTTTTTTTTTTTTACTATCTATAATGTTAGGCCTACTTCACAAGTCAAATGAGAGTAGATGCGAAATATACAAAGGGTTGTAACTTGTGTGCAGAACAAGTAACAGACAAAAAAGCAAGTGGTGCTCATTACAGAGGCAAACGACATCCAGCTCCACCTCTCTGGACGTCATGGGTTAAGTGCATAGCAGGGTTAAGTGGGAGAGGGGGAGCTGGACTTAACGCTCCATTCAAAATAAAAATATTTCTTCCACATGATAAATTCAGTCATCATTGTCACCTTTTTTTGGTCCTAACCCGAATTACACCTTTTCTTCGGTGAAACACAAAAGGAGATGGCAGGGACATGGCTAAATGTTAGTTTATAATAAAAAATAATATTTGGTATACAATGAAATGAACCCCAATTCAGTAGATTGTTTAAATTATGACATGATGGCATTCATGTATGACTTTAAATCAGACTCTACCACACTGATAGAGAAACACAATACAGAAATATGTTTTGAGGTAGGATTTGCGTCACTGATGCTCTATAAAAAGTAATGTAATGTGTCAAATAAAATATGATATCATGATAATAAATTATTAAAATATTAAATACAAATAAAATAATAAATGCACAATATTGCAAATGAAATGGACATAGAAATGTAGGCTATATAATATTTTCAAGTGCTGGCAGCTTAATGAGTCAGTTCTTGCAACACGTTGCACTATGATATGGGACACAGGGGAATGTTCAGACACAGAATAAGAAAAGGAAATATTGAGAAAGATGGTGCTGCTTAGAGGACAATGATGAAATTATTTTAACCAGCTCTTGTAGTGCAATCCTTACCCACCAGATGGCAGACTAACTACATCACTGAAAAAAAAAACAAGTTTATTGCAGCAGCCAACGCCTGCTGCCCCTGGAAAGTGACTTATGACTATCAAATTAGACAATTTTGATATGATATTAATCAATAAAGTGAATAAACCTGATTAAGTAACTTTAATGTGTGAATATATATAGTGTGGATAATATTGGATGACAGGCCTGTAGAAGTCAATAGAAAACCTTAACCAAACACCTTTAAATGAAGTTATAAAATGGATACTTCCGGTCCTAGCAACAGAGCATTCCCACAAGTGTTGTGATATAGTAACAGTTTTGACATGTTCATCACTGCACAGCCCAATAGAGAATGTTAATTTTGTTGTGTTATGTCAGGGACTGTATCTTCAACCCTAAACATGTCAATTAATGAATTTGCTTAAGAAAACAATGTTTTAATAATTAAAAATATTTTTACTATGTGTTAACTTTTTTAAAAAAGCAATTGGATGCTATACGTTAGAACAGCGTTTCTCAACTCCAGTCCTTGCCCCTGTCCCCGACCCACCAGTGTTTTAGATGTCTCACTAATTAAAACACCTGATTCAACTCATCAGCTTCTTCGTGTATTGAATAGGGAGACATCTAAAACGTTTTAGGAGGTGAGTTCCGAGGACTGGCGTTGAGAAACACTGCTCTAGAACTAGAACTTATTTTGACTGGTCAGGATAAATATGTCTGAATAATGACCAGTCCACATGGCAAGTGTATAACTGACTGCTCCTCCGAGAAACCTGTGTTTCGCTTTACTCTATTTATTTTATTTGTAATATATTCTATTTATATTTGCTTACTTATGTGTTGTGTCTGTAGAGTTCTGTAGAGCACATAAGTAAATAAAATAAATGCAAATATAAAAAATAAATGCACTTTAAACAAGTTTAAATACCTATTTTTCTTGAATGGTAGGCTATAAATAATGGTATTAATGAGACACAATATAGGCCTATATATATATATATATATATATATATATATATATATATATATATATATATATATATATATATATATATATATATATTATAATTACTATATCTGCGTTTTTTTCCTGTGTAGGATACTGTAAGCTTCCCCGAGACAAATTCCTTGTGTGTTTGCACACATGACCTGGGAATTAATCTCATTCTGATTCTCATTCTAAACTAGATCAAAATTGATGTAGGCTAAACATGTGTTCCTTATAAAAAAAAAGTCTAAGCTCGGCACAGTTGTATCTGTTTATTTTCTATTGTTATTCACTCGTGTGTTCACAGACCTCCGTTTTGAGAGTCTGCGGTCAAACCAGAAAAACGCGTCACATTCCAAATAGAAAATCGCCGCCCACTCTCACACCCCTATAAACACCCCAATCCGAAGCATGGGAACTGACTCGAGCTCTCCAGCGATCGCTGGGCAGGCAACCTATCACCCACATAACTAGACAAAAGTCATCTAGTTATTTCTGCTTTTTGGAAGACACTCGAATTTTCTCGTGAGTTCTTCACTTGAGAAGTTATCAGGGGCGGTGAAACCCTGATCTCCGTCCTGCCGCAATCCGGCGGGTGTTAAGATCCATGGAAGTGGCCGGTTTTTACGAGGGGGACTACCTCGCTTTCCACAGCACTAACGCCAGCAGCAGTCCGAACAGCAACAGCATATGCAAGCAGCCCACTAACGGCTCCATGACGAAGCTTCATGATATTTCTGAGCACGAGAAAGCCATAGACTTCAGCATCTATTTGGACTCTTCGTCCCAGTACCAGCACCTGGCCAGCCAAGACGAAACCCGGCACCGCGCACTGGGAATCTACAGCGACTTTCTCTCCGAGGAAAACAAGAGCAAGAGAGCAGCGTTACAGAACTACAAGAACTACATCTCGCTGACCGAGCGGGACCCGAATAACCAGCTGGCGTATCCGGAGATACAGGAGACGCGCATAGACGCCGTGTTCAGCCCAGACTTTCTGGGCAGTTTTGCCAAAAGTAACTGGCGACACGAAGAGCCGCCAATGGAGGGTTCCGGGGGCTTTGACATGCGCTCGTATCTACAGTACGCTCCGAGCGGCAGCCTGGGAAACATTTCCACCGCGTCCTCCTCCTGCTCGAGCCCGCCAGGTACACCTGCGCCGCCAGGTAAGGGAAGATCACCTCAGTCGGGCGGCAAAATGGCCTCTGGCGGCAAAGGGAAGAAGAGGCTGGAAAAGGACAGCGACGAGTACAAGCAGAGGCGCGAGAGGAACAATCTCGCCGTCCGCAAAAGCAGAGACAAAGCCAAAATGCGCAACATGGAGACGCAGCATAAAGTGCTCGAGCTCGCGGCCGAGAACGACCGGTTACAGAAGCGCGTGGAGCAGCTGTCGCGCGAGCTGGCGACGCTGCGGAACCTGCTCTCCGCCACCGGCCAGTGCTGACGGGACTCCAGCGGTGCTTAATGACTGTCAGTGACTTTAAAGAGAGCAGAATTTACAACAAAAGTTTTCTGCGCTTGATAGAAAAACGGACGAGCGCTCGTTCAATGCGTTTACAACCGAGAAAAAAAACATGAAAGTGGACTGTGCGCCTGGATTGCGCAATCCCACCGTGTGCTCGGTATAACTCTGGTAATCTGGAAACCCTGTCATGTATTTCGTCTGTAAAGTATTTTTGTACGGGTTCTAAAGTGAGATATCTACTGTTTAATATTCTGTTATTTAAATTCATTTCGCCATATCTGGGGCAGTGGTTGTCATGGGAAGAGTTGTACTGCAGAGGTATGATGCAACTCATTGTAACAGTATTGGAAACGCAGTGAAGTAGTCTTATAAATATGATAAAGGTACAACTGGTCTACTGCTATATACTATTTTATTGAATTAAATGATTTTTACTGTACTGAAATCCTGTGTGTCCTGCATTTTATTACTGCTGTCAAAAAATATTAGCACCCACCCACCCACAGATGCTGAGATTCAGTTTCCATTATGCAGTATTGTTTACTTTACATTTAATAGTCTCCTTTTATCAGGACATATACATTTAAAACTTTGCCTGCACACATGAAGACACAATAATCATTTACAGTTATTTGATAGAAATCTCCTGTTTCGTGACGGGATTTTTGGAGATCTTTTGAAATCTGTGTTCATGAGTCACTTTGAGGTAGAGTTATCTTAAATACACAGGCAGGGTCCACAATCCAAAGAGTTCAGCGGTCCATTAAAGACTGCGGTTCAAGGCTAGATAAGCACTGAACTTTCTAGACCCTCAAAACACACAAACACCCAGTTTACTGAACAGAAAGCCTGCCACGGTGAGATATAACTACATATTAAACATGGGCATGGAATACAGGCCGTTGTGGACGAGCAAGCAGTGATATGGTTTGATTTGCGTGAAAATTAAGATTTAGATAAGAGATATTATCAATATGGATTTAATCAATAATTTAATTGTCAAAAGTAAAAAAAAAAATACTTAAAATGCTTTTTAATTGAATAAAATTATTTACAAATTTGTTCTTGTCAAAATAAATAAATATAATACTCGGATGACTGATACATACACACACACACACACACACACACACACACATATATGTATATATACACTCACCGGCCACTTTATTAGGTACCCCATGCTAGTAACGGGTTGGACCCCCTTTTGCCTTCAGAACTGCCTCAATTCTTCGTGGCATAGATTCAACAAGGTGCTGGAAGCATTCCTCAGGGAGTTTGGTCCATATTGACATGATGGCATCACACAGTTGCCGCAGATTTGTCGGCTGCACATCCATGATGCGAATCTCCCGTTCCACCACATCCCAAAGATGCTCTATTGGGTTGAGATCTGGTGACTGTGGAGGCCATTTTAGTACAGTGAACTCATTGTCATGTTCAAGAAAC